ATTGTTTTATTTTTTTCAACAAACTTATTTCATTCATTTAAAATGCTCAAAATACAAAACGAAAGAATTGAACATCCTTCCAAATTAATACAACATAATTGAAATACAAAGAAAAAAAGCGAATAGATCATCGCAGAAGATGGACAACGAATCCCAGACATGCTTCGGATGCGTCAAGAGAATCTTTGCAGTAAAACCGGAAAGACTCAGGTTGGTCACTTCACAATGTGACTTTGAAAATCCCGGCATAAAACTCAGGAGTTTGATCACTCTACAAGAGAAGGAAAAAAGTACGATCAATCTCAAAAAAATGGAAAAAATAGAATTAAACTCTTCTACCGAGAATAAATTATATGATTTGAGAATCCTGAAAAGTGTACATTTCTCGAAAAAAACAAAAAAAGGCTAATAAACTCAACATGTATGATTTTTGCAGATTTTTGGAACCACTAGGCCTAGGCATTGATTAGATAGCACAAAACTCCTATTGGCCTTAATAACAAACTGGGCTTTGATAAGCTCATAATCTCTTTAACCAGGCCCAACTGCAACTTCACTCCACGAAGAAAGACTAATTGACGCTGGGGCAGGCGGCTATCGCTTGGCTTTTCCGGTGAGCAGGCCAGTGGATGCCCGATGACATCAGCCAGTACCAGATCCAATCTCTGGTTAAGCGAGATGGCGAGATTAAAGAAGGTTTCAACCTTGGCTGCGAGACAGGTCTCGGCCGAAGAGGAGGTGACGGGAATCGGCGGCGGAGGGGCTTTTGTAGCCCATGGAGCAGAGGTTGAAGCCTGAACTGATAGGTGGGCTCAGATCTTGTACCCGAGTAACCGGCTTGGCTGGCGGGGGAGCAACCGATTAAGGATTTAAGGGAGATGGTTGGAGCCGGGCTAGATCTCGTCTCGGAGCAGGTACGTTCGTAGAAGGAGAAGGACCTTAGGGCTCGGTAACATTGTAGCAGATAAAGAGGGGAAACATTTGCATAACTCGGCGCTGGAGCTGCATCCGGTGGATCCGGTGGCTCCGGCGGCGGAGCGAAGTTTATACTCCCTGAGAATGGCATCCACCGGAGGAGAGAGATAGCGAATCTCCGGTCAACACGCAGTTTACCGCCTGGTGAGACCAGGAGGGCTTGACTCAAAGAGAAGGACACCATCTCAAGATGAGATAAACATTTCCGATGACGGACACAACACAAGCTTCTTCTCGGAGGGGAGAGATCTTCGGGAGCTAGATAGACCGGAGAGAGAAAAATGTTGCTCCGGCAGAAATCTTCCATTTGCAGCCGCGGTATCTCGAGTCCCATGTCTGGGAGAGAAGGGTTCTCTCTTTTGAGAAGAACCTCCAAGTAGTGTCTCTGAAATTGGAATCCTTTTGAGGGGATTAGGCTAAGATGTAACCGGTTGAGATTATGCTCAAGTTAATGTCTCTCAAGTTGAAATCCTTTGAGGGGATTAGGCTAAGTTGTAAACTGTTGAAATTACTACACCAATGGTGAGAAGAGAGATTACTATGATAGCAGCCGACTGAAGAAGGAGAATGGAGCAAAAAGACCGGCTGCTTGACTACCACAGGTGTTTACCGGAACAAAATTCCGGCAAGATTTTGAGTTTTTAGGGTGTAAAAAGTTTGGTGAGTTTGGTAGGTGAAAGAGATTTTGAAAAAATTGACCAAATAGGGAAACATTCAGTGAGTAAAAGCTCTCGACAACCGGGTCTGAGAGAGAATCACATTGCTCTTTCTGATGTTTAAGATGAGAATTGCTATTTTTTGCCCTATTTTTAGAGCTAGAAATGGAAATGAGTTGAAAACCCTTGCTCATAAATCTCTCAAACAATCCAGCGGATGAGAAATAGTAATGCACAAGCTACTACAACAAGTGGGTAGAGAAGCAATTCAAAGACAAGAACTTTGGAGACGCCATACCCTAATTGATACTGATGAGTTTTTTTTTATAAAAAAATGTATCCGTTTAAACTAAGTCATTTGGAAGCACTCCGTTATCTTACTTAGAGCATGATCAATGGTAGTATATAAATTAGGGTGTTTAGTAATTTTTTTATTATAAATTGTATTGGGTTTAAAATTAGAACCTCATTTCAATTTATAT